AAACCAAATTCAATGATACATTTAAAAGATCATTCATCATGACCTAGTGGGATTTATCCCTGGGATGCAAGGATGGTTTAACATACACAAATCAAACAATGTGATACATCATATCAATAGAATGAAGGACAAAAACCATATGATCATTTAAATTGATGCTGAAAAAGCATGATACAATTCAACATCCTTTCATGATAAAAACCCTAAAAAAACTGGGTATAGAAGGAACATTTCTCAACATACTAAAAACCATATATGATAGATCCGCAGCTCATATAAGTAATGTGGAAAAACTGAAAGTCTTTCCTGTAAGATCTGGAACATGACAAGGATGTCCACTGTCACTCAACATACTACTGGAAGTCCTAGCTAGAGCAATCAGACAAGATAAAGAAATAAAGGGCATCCAAATTGAAAAGGAAGAAGTCAAATTATCCTTGTTTGCAGATGATATGACCTTATATTTGGAAAAATCTAAAGATTCTACCAAAAACTGTTATAACTGATAAACAAATTCAGTAAATTGCAGAATACAAAAACAACACACAAAAGTCAGTAGCATTTCTATATTGCCAAGAGTGAACAACTTGAAAAAGAAATAAAAAATGTAATCCTATTTACAATAACCACATAAAAAATAAAATACTTAGGAATTAACTTAACCAAATAAGTGAAGGATCTCTATAATGAAAACTAGAAAACACTGATGAAAGAAATTGAAGAGGACACCAAAAAATGGAAATATATTCCATGTTCATTGACTGGAAGAATCAATATCATTATAATGTCCAAACTACCCAAAGCAATCTACAGATTCAATGCAATTCCTATCAAAATACTAATGACATTCTTCACAGAAATAGAAAAAGCAATCCCCAAATTGACATGGAATCACAAAAGACCCAGAATAGCCAAAGCTATTCTAAGCAAAAAGAACAAAACTGGAAGAATCACATTACCTGACTTCAAATAATACTACAGAGCTATAGTAACCAAAATAGCATCGTACTGTCATAAAAACAGACACATAGACCAATGGGACAGAATAGAGAATGCAGAAACAAATTCACACACCTATAGTAAACTCATTTTCAACAAGGGTGCTAAGAACATACACTGGGGAAAAGACAGTCTCTTTAACAAATGGTTCTGGGAAAACTGGATTTCCATGTGTAGAAGAATAATAGCATACCCCTACCTCTCACTATCTTAAAAAAAAAATCAAACTAAAATGGATTGAAGACTTAAATATAAGACCTTAAACTATGAAACTACTACAAAAACAACTTCAAGGAAACTCTCCAGGACCCTGGTCTGGGCAAAAATTTCTTGAGTAATACCCCATAAGCACTGGCAACCAAAACAAATATGAACAAATAGGATTATATCAAGTTAAAAAGCTTCTTCACAGCAAAGAAAACAATCAACAAAATTAGTTGTTGGAGAAAATATTTGCAAACTACCCATCCAACAAGAGATTAATAACAAGAATATATAAGGTGCTCAAGCAACTCTATAGGAAAAATCTAATAATCCAATTAAAAACGGACAAAAGATTTGCATAGACATTTCTCAAGAGAAGACATACAAATGGCAGACAGGCATATGAACAGGTGCTCAACATCATTAATTATCAGAGAAATGCAAACCAAACTACAAAGAGATTGAGATGTCTCACTCCAGTTAAAATGGCTTATCTTCAAAAGACAGGCAATAACAAATGCTAGTAAGAATGTGGAGAAAAGGGAACCCTTGTACACTGTTGGTGGGAATATAAATTAGTAAAACCACTATGGAGAACAGTTCGGAGGTTCCTCAAAAAACCAAAAATAAGCTACCATATGATTTAGCAATCCCATTGCTGGGTAGTACCCAAGAGAAAGAAAATCAGTATATTGAAGAGATATCTGCACCCCTGTGTTTTTTGCAACATTGTTCACAATAACCAAGATTTGGAAGCAACCTAAGTGTCTATCAACAGACAAATGGATAAAGAAAATATGGTACTTATACACAATGGAGGACTATTTGGCCATAAAAAAGAATAAGATCCTGTCATTTGCAACAACATGGATGAAACTGGAGGTCATTATGCTAAGTGAAATAAGTCAGGCATAGAAAGAAAAACATCACATGTTCTCATTTATTTGTGGGATCTAAAAATAAAAAACAATTGAACTCATGGAAATAGAGAGCAGAAGGATCGTTACCAAATTCTGGGAAGGGTAGTGGGGGTGGGGATGGGGAAGAGGTGGGGATGTTTAATGGGTACCAAAAAAGTTACAAAGAATGAATAAGATCTAGTATGTGATAGCACAACAGGGTGACTATAGTCAATAATAATTTAATTGTACATTTAAAAAAAACTAAAAGAGCATAATTAGATTGTTTGTAACACAAGGGATAAATGCTTGAGGGAATGGATACCCAATTTCTGTAATGTGATTATCATGCATTGCATATCTGTATCAAAATATCTCGTGTACCCCATAAATATATACACCTACTATGTACCCACAGAAATTAAAAGTAAAAAATTAAAAAGGAAAATTTAACCTGGAATTAAGTGTATGGGTTGTAGAATGACAACAATTTAAAGTCACAGACATATCACATCTTCACCTTGACTTGTTTGAAACTGAGCATCTTGAACTCCGAAGCCTCTCTAAAGCCTCCGTTGCTAGAGGAAGTAACCCCTCTAACTGATGATATTAGTTTTCCCTTTCTGTTATTTCCCAGTAACAACTCCATCTAGACCAGCTGCCTTGCAAAGGGATGCTTATTTTTCTCAAGCTTCTGAGTCCCCATCCTTGGTTGTCTCTGTCTGACCTGAATAAAAAAAACTTATACTTGAAAATAAATGCAAGATGTTGCTAATTTTTTTCAGCACAAATATGGGGGAAACATGTGGGATTGGATTCTAAGGCTGTTAGAGCAAAAAGGACAGAATATAAAACTGGATCAAGCCAAGCTGATTTTATATATGTACTTACCAGAGATGGTGGATCTAATGCTAGAAGTGGTTCTGAAAATTAGTTTGCCTGATTGCTTGACTGAAACTTGGACTCCACAATGGCCTGAATTCATGAATTCAGTGAGGTTGAGGCACAATGTGCAAGATTAACTCCAAGACTTGACAAGACAGGAATATTGGCATGGAATTATCATATGCAAATTGTATACCTTTCTTCCCCATCCCCTTTATATACACCAAAAAGCCCTAGAACATAGTACGTTTTTTAAGAGGAAAAATTGGGAAATAGTATGTATTAGTGATGGGAGTATATTAGTCCATTTTCTGCTGTTGATAAAGATATACCCAAGACTGGGAAGAAAAAGAGGTTTAATTGGACTTACAGTTTCACGTGCCTGGGGAGGCCTCAGAATCATTGCAGATGGTGAAAGGCACTTCTTTCATGGTGGCAGCAAGAGAAAATGAGAAAGAAGCAAAAGCGGAATCGTGAAACTTATTCACTACTATGAGAACAGTATGGGGAAAACCACCCCCAAGATTCAAATTATCTTTCACTGCGTCCTTTCCACAACATGTGGGAATTATGGGAGTACAATTCAAGATGAGATTTGGGTGGGGACATAAAGACAAACCATAACAGGGAGCATCAACATCTTTGAAAAGCATTATGGTGACTTCCTTTGTACACACAGGGAGATGCAGCTACTAGTTGTGTTTCCTGATTTCCATGGGGATCCTGGAAAGTTAGTGGCTAACAGTAGTTCTTAACCACTAGAGGCAAGGTCAACACAATTACTGTAATGAACAACAAAGACAAAGAGGTAAGCAGAATGACCTACTGGGATCTTTGGCAGTGCCTAATTGATTACTGTATTCTTGGGAATGAAATAGATATGCAGCCTATTGCAATATTACTTCTTTTGCATGACAGAAATACTCTAGGTCTGATGTCTAGGAGCTTAATTTGAGTGGACACAGTGGAGTGTCTTAGCTTCCTAATTAATGTCCAGGCATAAGCCAGATCACAGACCCGAGGCCCTTGATTGAAGAATGTACAACACTGCTATAACTGTATTATTTAAATATTCCTTTGAGTCTTCCCCAAAGGTGCCTTTAGCTATTTACTAGGGTTGCTGTGCACTGGGGGAAAGGAAATCTTCAGACTTTTCAGGGATTTACTAGATACTGAATTGGCTCTGAATTGACGTTAGGGACCCCAAATGCCACTGTAACCCACTAATCAAAGTGGGAACTTCTGGTGATCAGGTGATAAATGAAGTGTTGGAAGAAAGTCATCTCCTACAGGACTCAGTGGATCCATAGACCCTCCCTGTAGTCCTCCCCCATCCAGCTCCAGAATATATAAATGGCATAGATATATCCAGTGACTTGGAATGAAGGCTATTGTTTGCCAACCATCTCTGTGGTTTAGTCTTGTCTCCTCAAACAAACTGGAAGCTCCAGAGAATAGTAAACCTCACTTAGCTGACTCTATTTTTCCCTAACCCTTGGGGGAGTGCTTTAGTATTAGTTATTCAATACAAATTTATTGGTAGTAATTTTGTGAACCATGCCAGTTTCTTGAAGCGTTTAGGAGAATTAACTAACTTGCGGGTGAGTGGAAAACTGCTGTTTTAGATAGAGGGAAAGGTATCTGGCTATGGAAAGAAACATAAATCTCTGATATTTGCCTTCTAGGGTCTGCCAAATTCAGAAAAGTATTTATTGATATCTACTCTTAATGCAAGACATGCAATTTATATTTATAGTCTAAAATCTTCAATCTTCATGATATTACTGTGAAGTAGATTTTAAGATCTCTTTTATAGCTGAGGAAACTGAGGTTTGGGAACATTAAGTGGCTGGTTTGGGGTCACTCAGTACTTGGCAGAACAGGAGTCCAAGCCTGAAATGTTAGATGTTTCCCATTTTGCCCTGGTTAGTGTTTTTTTTTTGGCAGGAAATTAAAATTTTTTCTTATACTTTAAATATTACCTTTTCATAGAAAAAGTAAATTATTTTTGTCTCTTTGGCATTATAATTTCAGGTACTACTGCAAGCAGGAAGGATGAGAAGGAGAAAGAAGAAATTCTTTTCTTTGTAACTCCTGGGGCAAATGTTGACCTGTGATGTCTCTCTATATTGTGTAGCCCACAAAGGTATATATGGAACATTTAAACATGTCTTTACTAAAAAACAGAAGATTGTAAAAGGGAGATCAATCTAAAAGTTTATAAGAAGTTTGATAATTTGCTTTGTAAGAAATGGCTTGCACCCCATGGCTTTAGGCCTTACTCTTAGGGGATTTCTCCCTCATGCTTCTTGGCCCTTTTTGTGGAATGCCTGAAGCTAGCTCCCATCTCCTAGAAAGCTCATCCATGCATTTACCACCTCTCCCTGCCACAATCCCTACTGTAGCCCACCTCCAAGATATGAAGCTGAGAGACACGCAGGGACCTTTGGATACAAAGGGCTTATGGAAGGGAAGCCTGCATCCCGCCTGCATCCCATGTGCTCCCTCCTGACTAGGGTCTTCCCAGTTCCTCAATCTTCCCCAACCATGGGGGTGTGATCTCGAAGACCCAGTTAGGAAAAGCTATCTTAATGTAACTCAAGAACTCACACAACTTACATAAATCTACACACACACTGCAAAAGATGTTTTTATGCCTTGCCACACTCTTTGTCATAGTATTCTATAAAGGGAGCTCTGTCATTTCTTAGGATCAAGGACACTGAAATGGCTTAATTTGGACCAGATTCTCCTAGAGCATTAGCTGTTTCCTAAGAGTATCTTAAGATAGCTTGGAGCTGTATTGACTTTTTAGATCTAAGGGACCTAAACGACCCATTTAACTTTGAACCTTTAATATAACAGATTCAAGATCAGAATCCTCTTTGACTTTATAGACCATCAGTGGAGCTCAATGGTGACCTACCTTAAATGTTCCTGTTAGGTCCAATGAACAGGCGAGGGAATGAGAGAAAGAAAAATATGGAAAAGTGACAGTTGGAAAGACAAAGAAAAAAAGGGAAATAATAGAAATAAATTACTAGCACTTAGTAAAGTGCAAATATGTATTCTTATTCTGGATCTTATTCTGATAAATAAGTAAAGACCTAATTATAAGAAGTGAGAAAAGCACAATAATAGGCAAAAACAGAGGTTTGAGGGGTAGGGCACTGGGTGATGGCCAAAGATGATTTCCTGGAGTTGTCATATTAGTTGCATCTCAAAAAAAAGTATAAAGAAGAGCAGAAGAGCCTCCAGGCTGGTGGTGGGCATGGGCAAAGGTGAAAAGCCATGAGAGCAGGAGGAGGTGAGATCCTCATTCTGTGTGGGATCTTCATTCTGTGTGGGATCCACATCTGGATGACCTCCCATGTCCATGCCTGTTCTCTTTGTTATACTCTTTTGGTAGAGATCATTTGTGGCCCACCTAACATCTGTTCTTGTCTTCCTCTGTAATAACAGGTCCTCACGTTTTACAAGGCACTTTTGTTGTCTCTCTTGCAGCCATGTGTGGTCTTGTTACTAAGTGTTAGCCAGTGAGATGTAAGTGGAAATATTGTGTGGGCCTTCTGGGCAGGCTTCTTGAAGGGAGGTGGCTCAGCTTGGAGACACTCTTCTTGTCTTGCTGCCTCTTCTCCTCCTGGCCTAGAATACAGATGTGATGGCTCGAGCTCCACAGCTGTGCTGGATCCTGAGATGGCCTGGAGAGTGGACATCATTAGCTAGGATATGGAAGTAGAATTATTGAGTCTTCTGTTTTGTTGAACATGGTATACAAGTTGAGGCAGAGCTGAATTTCTTGGGAGGACAGGGTTTTAAAGGCTATGTAAAGGCAGGATAGACAGAGAAACAGAAAACTCTTAGAAAACAGTGTGGGGCTATCTACTGTTACCCCAGAATGTCCCTTGGAGGTCTCATGAGGAGGTTAATAGAATAACACATTCAAGAAAAACAGATCTTTTCTTGGGGATATGCGCTAGGTGGAGGAGATTGTGAGTGAAGAAAGAAAAAGTAAGAAAATTAAGTCAAAAAGCAAGTTTCTGTAAAACACAGAGCTGGGATAATTTGAACCCAGAACCCAAATCTAACCCCAAAACCTCTTGCTTTTTCCATAGGATATACAAAAGGAGGCCCATGTTGATTCAGAGGATGAATGAGAGGTGAGATATCATAGTCACATTAGTGCCTTGAACCTTCCTAAGGGCATCACAGGGACCTAGCTTACTTCCAGAAACAGACTTATCTCTGAGAATGGCTAGCTAATTTGATGGGGCGATTTTTTTTAACCTTTTGTTTCAGTAGAAGAGTGTTATATTGCTTGTGTTCAAACAGCTCTTCCCTTAACTTCCCAACCAATTTCTTTGGCCTTGATAGATTTATCCCATGAGTAACTTGGTGAAATCATATACATCCTAAGAATTTGCCTCCAAGCTTCCAAAAGGAGTGAGGGAGTGTTTTGTTGTCAGCTATTCCATTAAAAACTGGTGTGTGTGTGTGTGTGTGTGTGTGTATGTGTGTGTGTTTTATGTAGTGTGTGATATCTATATGAAAGAGAAAGAATCAAAGGAATTTAAAGTTCTCTTATAAAAGTGGGGAGTCCTGGCCCTGGAGGCCTTCATCCTTGATGTTTACTTCCTGAGAGGCAGGATTTGCTAGCTACCATTTTATCCTGCTAATGCCAGGTTCTGCCAGTCCTGTGACTTTACCTTGCTAGAGAGCCTTGCCAGCTCTTCTTTTTGTTATCATCTTGGTTTATGGAAAAGCCCAACAAGTCAGGGCTGGAGGGCCATGTAGGAGCTACTGGAAACTTGCTTTGCATTCGTTCTTTATTTTTTCTTTTATTTGAGCCTGGTGCTCAAGTGTTGCCTTATTAAGGAAGGCTTCTTTGCCTACCCTGACCTACTAACACTGCTAATGTCCTTTCTTCCATATTTTTCTCCATAGCATGTATCAACTTTTGATATAAAACACATTTGGGCTGGGTGCGGTGACTCACGCCTATAATCCCAGCACTTTGGGAGGCTGAGGTGGGTGGATCACCTGAGGTCAGGAGTTCAAGACCAGCCTGGCCAACATGGTGAAACCCTGTCTCTGCTAAAAACACAAAAATTAGCCAGGTGAAGTGGTGCACACCTGTAATCCCAGCTACCTGGGAGGCTGAGGCAGGACAATCACTTGAATCCAGGAGGTGGAGGTTGCAGTGAGCCAAGATCACGCCACTGCACTCCAGCCTGGGTGACAGAGTGAGATTCTGTCTCAAAAAAAAAAAAAAAAAAAACCCAAAAACAAACAAACAAACAAATAAAAAAACACACATTTGACCTATTTACTTCATTGTCAAGTATCTCTTTACTAGAATGTAAACCCTATAAGGGCAAATTTCATCTGTTTTGTTTACTAATATGACCCTAGTGCCTAGGACAATGATTGACTAAATTTTCATTGAATGCCATGGTTTCCAGCTATCTACTGGCAAAAGGTATTGGTTTATGGATAATCTGGTCATTAGGACCATATGGACATCTAGAGTTGGCAGAGAATAATTCCTACTTTCTCCTTGGAGTGGGCCATGGTAAGAATTTTTAGATCTTCCTCCATCTCAAGTTCACACTTGCCTTCTTTTCAGCTCCCACCAATTTGGTGTTTTAGGACAACAGCCTCTTCCCACCATGTTCTGCGTAAACTCTTGCTGTCTTATCAGGAACCTCTTTATGAGGTTCCAGCAGAGAAGATAACCTTATAACCTCTATAAAGCAACATCACTGAGCATGTGGGCGAGTGAGAAGAACTCCGGAGTGTCAAGACACTTAGATTCCAGTTTTGACCATGCAGATACCTAACTGTGGGCCTCGAGTACCTAATTCAACCCAGTACATCTTTGCCATTCACAGATTTACTGTTTGTGAACAACTTTGAAGGTCCATAGTGTGTGATATAATTTGTCATTTGTGTTGGGGTTTGAATTTGAGCTGCCTTGAGTCTTGGATACACATTTCTTAATGAGAACTATATGGCTAAAACGTAGCAGGAACCAATTTGAACAGGCTTAAGAAGAAAAATGGCTTAAGTAGGAAAGGTGTGCATGGATATAACTGAGAGACTCAAGATCCAGATTCTCAGGGTCTGTTCATGAGAATTTAGAATTCTTCTCATGCCATCGCTTCTTCAGTGGGTGTTTGAGTGCATTTATGACTTCAGTGCTAGCTAAGAGGTAGTCAGAGATAAACAGAAGCTTAGACACTGTCTTTGTTCTCAAGGAGTTTATTGGGTAGTTGAGGGACAAGACTCTCCCTCTCCCTCTACAATGAACACCAAGAGTGTGTAGCTGAGTTCACTAGTCCTGGGACTATTTCACATCATTGTGACATACCTGTGCCCTGAGGTAAACTCAGGTATTCTTCATCCAAGAGAGAATAATGTTTTATTATTTTTTTTCTTTCTAGGAACTATAGAGTTTGCTTCGTAGATCAAAGGAAAGATGAGGGGAACAGAATGAATAAAATATTGGAAATATGAGTGAGTGAATCTAGTAGTGGAAATGCAGAGCAAAGAAATGACAACAGAGAATTCCCACAACAGGGAAAGTTCCATGCTGGGAAGAAGTGAGCAAGAAGGTGTGCCCAGCTTTGGGAGGACTTAAAATGCCAGACCCCTAAGTTTAAGCTTCATAGGGCAACATGGAACTACTGCAGATATTTTTTAAAATTTAAAATATTCTAATGAAATATTTCATTTATACAAACATACCTATATATGTGAATATAACAAATGAAGAATAAAATAAACACCTGTGTGCTCTCTATTCCACTTAAGAATTAGAACATAGCCAATACTTTTGAATTCCTTTTGCATTCCTCTTCCATATGTTTCCAATTCTGTGTTTCCTATTCCCAAAGAGTGATCATTATTCTGAATTATATATTCATTATTCTCTTGCCTTTGGGTTTAATTTTACTATGTATATATTAAGTTTCATATAATTTTAAATTATATATAGATTAATTTCTCCCTTGTTATTTCAGGCTATTAATCTTACTTTTTCTATGTTTTATTTCTCCCCTACCCTTCTTGCCTTCTTTGGGATTGTTTGTTGTTCATTTTAGTTTCCTTTTACTGGTTTGGAAATTATTCACTCCATTAATATTTATTTAAAGATAAACACTTACATTTTATTATGTGCACTTTAACAGTCTAAAATCTGTTAGTATCTTAACTACATTTTTCTCAAGTACAAGGATCTTGGAATGTTTTATTTTGTATTACCCCCGTCCCCTTCAGCATTGTCCAGTTATTTTGTTTTTAAATACACAAAATAGATATTATTACTTTTGTTTTACTTTGTCAATATTTGTTAGATTTATATATATGTTTCATTTTCATTGTTCAAAGTTTCTTCCTGCATTGCTAACCTTCTGCTAAATTCCTTAGTGAGGATATCTTTGCAGTCAACTATTTTATTTTATTTTTTAATCTGATAGGAACTTAAAATCTGGGTTTTCTGGATAGACTGTCCATAGTTGACAGTTACTTTTTCCTGGCACATTAAAGATATTATTCCATTATATTCTGACTTCCATTGTCACAAGTGAGAAGTCTGTGGTTAGTCTAGTTATTGATTTCTGTTTTGCATTTTTATTTTTGGTGATCAATCTTTTGTGTGTTTAAAAATATTTTTATTTTCATTGCTCTTCTGCAGTTTAACTACAAAGTTTATAGGAATGCATTATATTTTATTTATACTACTTTATATAATTCTGTTTTTTATATGAATGTATATCTTTCACTAATTTTGGAAATTTCTTATTATTTTTCTTTCAGTTATTCCTTTGAATATTGCCTCTATCCCATTCACTATTTCTGTAACTTCAGTTACATATGTGTTATATACATTCTAATTCTATCCTTCATGTTTCTTGGCTTCACCTTCCTTCCTGTTTTCTACCACCTACTTCTCTATGCTGAGTTCTATATAACTTGTCAGCTCTCTACCATTTCATAAATTTATTTCTCAAAGGTGTCTAAAATGATGTTAAAACATTTCTTGGAGTTTTTAATTTCAATGATTGTATTTTTCATTTTAATTAAAAAATTTATCTTGCCATGTTTTGATACTCTCTGGCACTTTGTCTGTTTTCCCAATTTTATCTCTTTTCTTTAAATAATTTCATAATTAGTTATATTCATTCTCTGATAACCCAGTATTCAAATCTGTTGGTGGGCATAAATTTGATGTTTGCCATTTCTACTGATGCTAGCTTCTGTTAGCTTGTTACTTTTTTTATTTCTTAAATTTTTACTTGGGCTCTTGTTTGATTGAACATAATTTGTGGGATCTGATTTGAGGATTTTGTGGTTTTTATTTTCCCCCTCAAAAAATCTGCTTCTGTTTGAAACTGGGAGCACTATTAAACCAGACAGACTTCAGTTTCTCAGATGGGCTTTTTTTTCCCATAAGAGCAATACAAATTCAGACTCCTGATGCCCCAGTGAGAACAGATCTAGGTTACACATTATAAGGGAAGACGATTTATATATATTTCCATCTAGAGCTACCACAGAGATAGTTTTCCTTTGTTAGAAGGCTGCTTTTTTCAGTTTGCCCTTTCAATGAAGACATATATTTATGTGGAGGCCTTAGTAAGTTTAGCTCCTTGACCTTGCATGAGGCCAAAGCCTGGCCTCCCATTTCCCATTCACATCAAAACCACATTGTATTAGGGACAGAACTAATAGAATAGATATATATATGAAAGGGAGTTTATTAAGGAGTGTTGACTCACATGATCACAAGGTGAAGCCCCACAATAGACTGTCTGCAGGCTGAGGAGCAAGGAAGTCAGTCCAAGTCCCAAAACCTCAAAAGTAGGGAAGCTGGCAGTGCAACCTTCAGTCTGTGGCCGAAGGCCTGAAAGCCCCTGGCAAACCACTGGTGTAGGTCCAAGAGTCCAAAAGCTGAAGAACTTGGAGTTTGACGTCCAAGGGCAGGAGGCATCCAGCATGAGAAAGGTGGAGGTCAGAAGTCTCAGGCAGTCTAGTCTTTCCATGTTCTTCTGCCTGCTTTTATTCTGGCTATTGTGGCAGCTGAGCAGATGGTGCCAACCCAGACTGAGAGTGGGTCTGCCTTTCCCAGTCCACTGACTCAAATGTTAATCTCCTTTGGCATGACTCAAAGTGCTCATGCCAGTAAACTATTTTATTTACTACTTTAGGCATGACTCAAAGTGCTCATGCCTAGCACTTTGGGAGGCCGAGGCGGGCAGATCCCGAGGTCAGGAGTTTGAGACTAGCCTGGCCAATATGATGAAACCCCATCTCTACTAAAAATACAAAAAAATTAGCCGGGCATGGTGGTGTGTGCCTGTAGTCCCAGTTACTCAGGAGGCTGAGGCAGGAGAATTGCTTGAACCTGGGAGGCAGAGGTTGCAGTGAGCTGAGATCGCGCCACAAGCCTGGGTGACAGAGCCAGACTCCATCTCAAATAAATAAATAAAGAAACCAAAACAAATTTTTAAAAAGTAGAATTGTCTTCCTAAGGGATGGGGAAGTGTAATATGTATACACCAGTTCGCATTTCCTGTTGGTGAAGGCTGTTCTTGATGGTGTTGAATCCCTGGTTATTTCTGGCCTGCCCTGCACAGGAGCTGAACAGTTTCCAAGGTACCAGAGAAAGCCCTCAGGCAGTGAAACAGAGAGTGTGGGTATAGCTCAGAAGCTCTCAGTGTTCCAGGGAGCTGTCCCCTGAGGCTACAGGTAAACTCAACAGTGGACTAAGGACTATGAGTCAAGGTGTCAACAATGTCTGCTATAGACTGGAGTTTGTGTCTTATTTCTGGACCTAATTACACTTATGCAAACACTACAAAATGATAGGGACTATGGTGTTTAAGATTAATACGAGAATAGTATAGAACAGAAGTTGGCATATAACAACCCCAGGGCCAAATCCAGCCTGCCACCTCTTTTTGCAAATAAAGCTTTATTAGACTATAGCCACACACATTCATTTATATCTATGGCTGCTATTATACTGCAACACCTGACTGAGTAGTTGCAACAGAGACTATAATATTTGTAGTACAGACACAAAGCCTTAAATATTTACTATCTGTTTGCCATCCCCTGATTTAGAAGAACTGATCAGGGAGGACCCTATTGTTGAGGAGACAAATTTGGGAACTGCTGTAGATTTCCAAATCTGAGATGAGAAGAGCCATGACTGAGGTCTATACCTACAACCTAGTCTACATCTACACCTATTTTTTTGAATTTAGGGAATTATGGTGAAGGAATTTGAAAACACAATGGCAAGGTCTTGAGTCTGAGAGACCGTGAGAATGGTGGTTTCACTGTTAGACACTAAGAAGTCAGGACATTTTTGTTTGGGGCCGGGAGATGATGAGGGATTGGGATGGTGAGAAATTTGGTTCAAGAAGAAGTCTTGAGTCTTGAGGGCAGTTGAAACTTCTAGTTTCTAAGTAAAAATACAGCGCTGGGATGAAAGTTGGAACTGCAAGGCAATGATGGGACTTTCCATGGATCTATGTGCCTAGACAGCTTGCTGGAGCACTGGGGAGCTGCAGTCCCACCTGTCTCAAGGATTCTACCATGAAGGCCTGCACCATCCACCATGTGTTTTGGGGAGTGCCAGATGTAGGGACACTCTAGAAAGGAAATTCTCTAGTTTAAGCTACTTCACAGCACATAGGCTACCAGATCTGTGACTATGAAATATGAAGTAAACTTTCTTTCCCCCAAGCTCTGTGGCTGGAGAACTTGTCTAACTACACAAGACAGACAAGCAGCCGCAAGGACAAAGGGAGGCATCCCAGATGCTCCCTTTGGGCCTGGGGCTCCTCTGTCCTCCCACAACCTGTCTCGCTGTTCATCAGGAGATGCTGTAGTAATGGATTACCCCACGGTGAGGCACCCAGAAAAAGCCCAAAGGATGTGGAAAATCTGGTCAGTTCTCAGATTCACGGCCCACATTTCACAGTCACCATAGTGCAAGTGAATTGGTTAGGTGTTTTTTTGTTTGTTTGTTTGTTTGTTTTTGTTTTTTAATCCAGGGCCTCTAGAACTAACGTAGCTTGTTAGTGTAACTAACAAGGCCACAGATGCCAGGACATGGAAGGGACTTTAGAGTAATGCCAAAATTTCAAACTAGTTTTAAAGTGTAATTAAACAAAACAGAGAGGTTTTGTTGCTGTTCATTTATTGAATAGGCAGATATTTTATAAACAGAGGACACTAGACGGGGAAAAAGACCTGGAAGAGCTGGGCGTGAGTCCTGGTCTCATAACTTACAAACTGTGATCTTAACAAAGTGACTTTAATTTTTTCTGGCTTTATTGTGGTATAATTGACAAGTAAAAATTTTATATATTTATGATAGATAACATGTTGCTTTAATACATGTGTACATAGTAAAATGATTACTGCAATCAAGCTAATTTACATACCTAACACACCATATAGTTATTTTT